GTAAACTAAAACTGAAACATAAACAGACACTAAATAAAAGAAAATAATTTGTGAACTGAAATAAAATTGAAAACTATATTTAAAAAAAAAAAAAAAAAAAAAAACATGTCGGACTTTAATCAAAGTCCTTGAGCTTTAAGCAAAAAAGCACCGACACACCAACTATTTGATTTTCATTGCTATTGGTTTATACTCAGTCAGACATAAGGTCAGTTTAGGCATTCCAGTTTACTTATGTTGCATGTTTTTATACGCTTGAAGGAAACCAGAGGTGAAAAGCCACACAGACACTGGGTGAACATGCAAACTGCACACACAGAGCGGCAGTGTGCTGCCAGTGACAGCACTACCCACTGCGCCAGTGAGCCGCCCTCGGATTCCACAATGTGTGATGCTGGTATCATTGTGGCATTTCATGCACATGCAATTGTCACATCACAAGGACCACGATAGTCTGTTGAAATGATTTTTACTCCATCACAGGAAACAAAATTTTGCAAGCTTTGCAATTTTAATGATGGTTCATTTTCTACATTTTAGAATTTGTTTATGAAAAATCAGTCTAAACTTTACTGCCACTGCACGAGCTCTGCATGAGTTCTCCAAGACAATCATAAACATTCTCGTCCTTGCTGTTTGACTCACTCATAGTCCCTGTGGTGTGTTTGTGAGAAATTAAAAATGAGTGACAAGGAGAAAAGCGAGCAAGAACTGGCCATGAAAAGTTCCAGACTATGGAAATATTTTATATTCCATAGAGATGATATTGAGCAAAAGCAACTTATTTGAGACTCTGTTGATAGATAATAAGTTGATAGATAATGAGCCTCTGTTCTAAGCTCATGGGTTAATCCCTCTATGCATACTCGTGGGCAACTGTATATAGCTCAAGAAGTATTGTTACTATAAATACTTGTTGTACTCTCCTGTCGTAGCATGTTTGTTTGCCCGTGTCTTATGTGAACCCTGTCCGACCCTCACATGTCCTTAGCTTTGTATAAATCTCCCACCGTTTGTCTGCCTTACAGTTGGGTGTCTGGCCTTCCTGTGTTTCCCTAGTATGTTTGTTTTGGGGTTCGTTGGGTGCCTGT